ATAATATATAATATATATATCAATTATAATATATTATTATATTAGTATCAATTGATCATGATAAATACATCGCTAAAAATTTTTGGAGTTACGTCAAACGCTTTTTTCAAAGTAAGTCATCACTTCTGCCATCATTTTCTGCTACACGGTGCACCGAGTACTTTAGTAATGCTTTTTCTGCCCTTTATCCAAATAAACGATTCACTATTCCTTCTTGGATACCTTCTTTCGATGAACCATCCTATCCATTTGACACACAACCTCCATCCTATCAAGTGATAACTTCTATTATACGTCGCATGAAATCCTCCACTTCTCCCTGTCCCCTTGATAAGATATCCATCATTTGTTTCAAACGTTGCCCTTACCTACGATCTTTCCTCACCAAAATTATTCATAGCATTTGGGTATCTGGCAGTGTTCCATCCGAATGGAAAAAAGCATCAACGATATTGATCCACAAAAAAGACAATACAGATGATCCTTCTAACTTCAGACCAATAACCTTAGAATCTGTCCCCTTGAAAATCTTCACCTCCTGCCTACGTAACTCTGTTTTCAACTTTCTGAAACAAAATGGTTTCATTGAACGCCAAATTCAAAAAGGCTTCACTCCCAAGATATCAGGTACTTTAGAACACACGGCACTTATGGGTCATATGATAAATAAAGCTCGCACAAAACAGCGCTCTTTGGTTGTTACCCTGCTTGATCTCAAAAATGCTTTCGGCGAGGTCCACCATAATTTGATTCCCACTATTCTTTCGTACCATCATATACCATCTCATATTCAGGCTCTGGTCTCCAGCTTATATTCGGGCTTCAAGACCTCTATCCTCACAGATACATTCCAAACCCCTGCCATTCCCGTTTGTCGTGGTGTTCTTCAAGGTGACTGCCTCAGCCCTCTTATCTTTAATCTATGCTTCAATACGTATATTCAATACATAAAAGCAGAAAAATATAAACAGCTTGGCTTCTCTCCCCACGACGAAAACGATCGCATGTTCCAGCCAGTGCATTGGTTCCAATTTGCTGATGATGCTGCGGTTGTTACTAGTGGTGAAAAGGAGAACCAACTCCTGTTAAACTGCTTTACAAGATGGTGTCAGTGGGCAAACTTTGTAATAAGGGTTGATAAATGTGTCACCTTTGGCATTAAGAAATACTCAACAAGATCTCTTCAGTTCCAGCCAAAGCTTTTCGTGAACAACCAAAGCGTGCCTGTTGTTAAAAATGGAGAATCTTTCAAATACCTCGGCCGCTTCTTTGACTTCGAAATGACCAACGGCAGTCATAAAGAAAAACTGCTATCAATGTTTCCCAGCCTTCTGAAAGAAATTGATGACTTGCCTCTGCATCCCAAAAATAAACTTCTATTGTACCACAGATATGTATTGTCCAAAGTTTCTTGGCACTTCACTGTTGCAGACCTATCGAAGACCTGGGTCATTGAGAACCTCGATAATCTTGTCTCTAAATACATTCGCCAGTGGCTTGATCTTCCCATAAGTGCTACTTTAACTAGTATAGTTCTTTCTAAAAATCAATTTGGTCTCGATCTTCAGCTACCTTCTGTCAAATTCACTCAATGCCAAACTGTTTCACGCAATGCCCTCCGAACTTCTCCTAACACAAACATTCAAGCTTTATGGAAAAACACCAGTAGTGGGATGAATCTGCAATACGACATTTACCGTAACACCAAAGATGTACTGAAAGCAGTAAAATCAGACAGTAGAGAGCGCTTGGCACACCAATTACTATCCCAGGGTGCTATTATTTCATTTCTGTTGGACCACTCTCTTAAAAAGCTCAATGGTCTTTGGTCTGTTGTGCAGAGCAACCTACCCACGAACATCTTCAACTTCACCATCAAGTACCTGAACAATACTCTCCCTACGCGCAAAAATCTAAGCCTTTGGAACCTAAGCCAATCATCGGATTGCGAATTCTGCCTTCTTCCCGAAACTTTACTCCATGTCGTTGCAGGCTGCAAAGTTTATCTCGAACAAGGTCGTTATACCTGGCGTCATAATTCTGCTCTAAATTTTCTTGCAACCTCCTTGAAAGCAATAGAGGGATCCTCTCTTTTTGCCGATATACCTGGCTTCTCCTCACCATCCATCATAACTGGAGACAATCTGCGCCCAGATCTACTTCTGCGTACAAAGGAAAACATTCTTTATGTTTTGGAACTAACGATAGGATTTGAAACTAACCTTAACTGCAATGCAGAAAGGAAACGTTCAAAATATGCTCGCCTTGTCTCAGATCTAAGACCTAGGTTCAAATCTGTCATATTTGTAAATCTCTCCATCAGCTCTCTTGGCATCTTCGGCGACTCATGCAGCTCATTCCTTGAAATGTGTCACTCTCTTTCCATCGATGATCAACACAAACGATATCTCATTTCTAAGCTTTCTACGATATCCATTCGTACCACCTATTACATTTTTTGCTGTAGGAACAAAACATGGACTAACCCAGAGCTACTCCCCTTTTAACGTTTTTTTTTTCTTTTCTCTTTACTACGATTGTAATAGTCTTATTTTGTAAAAACAGGCTAGCCAGTTACAAATTACCTTGTAATAGTGAGATTTGTAATTGTAGTTTTAACTGGAATTCAAAATGAAAAGTTTCCATTATTAAACAACAAACCTATCCCATCTGTCTCGAATGGAAACTCTTTCAAGTACCTCGGTCGTCATTTTGACTTTGAAATGACAAACCAAGAACATAAATCTGACCTTTTATCATCACTGTCAAACATGCTCAAACAAATCGATTCCCAGCCTCTTCATGCAAAAAATAAGCTACGTCTTTATCACAACTTCGTTCTTTCTAAAATTTCCTGGAACCTTACTGTAGCAGATCTTTCAAAGACGTGGGTTGTCGAGAATCTTGACAACCTTGTATCCAAATACATCCGCCAGTGGCTCGACCTCCCAATAAGTGCTACCTTGAGTAGCATTATTCTTTCTAAAAACCAGTTTGGACTCAGCCTAACTTTACCATCCACCAAATTCCTACAGTGTCAAACAGTTTTACGAAACGCATTGAAATCTTCACCAAACGATAACATTCGCTCTTTATGGAAAAATACCAGCAGTGGCACAAATATACAATATGATATATATAGGAACACCAAAGAAGCATTAAAGGCTGTCCAGCATGAGCATAAAGATCGTCTGCAAAACATCCTAACCTCCCAAGGATCTTTATTATCACATCTCTTTAACCAGAATCTTCCACAAATAAACAAACTTTGGTCCAAGGTGCAAAGTAGCATGCCTCAGAATATTTTCAATTTCACCATAAGGTACCTGAACAATACCCTTGCCACACAGAAAAACCTGAAAAAATGGAACTTGAGCCAGACCTCGGACTGTTCTTTCTGTTTTCTGCCAGAAACACTCCTTCATGTTGTTGCTGGCTGCAAAACATATCTGGAACAAGGCCGATACACCTGGCGACATAACTCTATCCTAAACTTTCTAGCTACGTCACTAAAAGCTGTCAATGAATCTACCATCTACGCTGATATACCTGGCTTTCTTTCACCATCAATCATAACTGGAGAAAACCTTCGCCCTGATCTTCTCTTGAGGACTAACAGCAATTACCTCTACATTTTAGAGCTAACTGTTGGCTTCGAATCCAATCTTGAGACAAATGCTACAAGAAAACACAGCAAGTATGCTCCTCTCTTATCTGGTTTACAGCGGCAGTTCAAATGTGTCTCCTTTGTTAATCTTTCTATGAGCTCTCTTGGCATCTTCGGCAATTCCTGCAATTCATTCTTCAAAATGTGTGACTCTCTCTCCATCGATCAGCAACAAAAACAGTATCTCATTTCTAAACTTTCCAACATTGCCATCCGTACTACGTACTACATATTTTGTTGCAAAAATAAGCCATGGACAAATCCGGAATTACATCCTTTTTAACTTTAGTTTTTTTTTTATTTTATTTTTCTCAGTTTTTCCTTTTACCTTACGATTGTTATAGTTTTTTCTTGTAAAACCAGGCTAGCCAATTGCAAATTACCTTGTAATAGTGAGATTTGTAGTTGTAGTTTAAGTTGAATTGAAAATGAAATGTTTCCATTATTATTATTATTAAATATGAGCAACCAAGAACATATGTCTAAGCTCTGCTCCATCTTCACAGAACTCCTAACGCAAATTGATTCTTTACCTCTCCATCCAAAGAATAAGCTGCTTCTTTATAACAGCTATCTTCTCTCACAAGTTTCGTGGCACCTCACAGTAGCCGATCTATCAAAAACCTGGATCGTCGAAAACCTTGATAATCAAGTTTCTGCATTTATCCGACGTTGGCTCGATTTACCCATAAGTGCTACTTTAAGTGGCATTATTCTGTCAAAAAACCAGTTCGGTCTTAACTTGATTCTTCCTTCTGTTAAATTCATGCAGTGTCAAACTGTTTGTCGTAATGCACTGAAATCCTCTCCCAACAAAAACATCCAATCTTTGTGGAAAAATACCAGCCAGAGCATGAACATCCAATATGATGTTTACAGGAATACTAGAGAAGTATTGAAGGCTGTTAGATCAGAACATAAAGAGCGACTTCAAAACCATCTTGTATCTCAAGGTACCGTTCTTTCCTTCATCTTTGACCACTCTCTTCCTATAGCCTCTAAAATATGGACCACGGTTCAAAGCAACATGCCCAAGAACATTTACAGTTTTACTATCAAATATCTTAGCAACTCCCTTGCCACGCGAAAAAACCTATCTAAATGGAACATTACTCAGTCGTCCGATTGCTCTTTTTGCCATATGCCAGAAACGTTACTTAACATTGTTGCAGGCTGCAAAACATACCTCGAAGAAGGCCGTTACACATGGCGCCATAACTCTGCATTGAACTTCCTAGCACAATCTTTAAAAGCTATACCTAATTGCTCTATTTACGCAGACCTTTCAGGTTATCTCTCACCCTCTATCATAACAGGAGACTCTTTCCGTCCTGATCTACTTCTAGTCACTTCTGACCATCGACTATCCATACTCGAGCTTACAGTAGGATACGAAACTAACTTGGATGTTAATGCTAACCGCAAAAAAGAGAAATACTCGAATCTCATTCACAGCCTAAGCTCAGCCTATTCTTCTATCATGTTTGTTAATCTTTCTATCAGTTCCCTAGGTATCTTTGGTCTCTCTTGCTCCTCTTTCATTGACATGTGCAACGCTCTAGATATCAGCGAGAATCATCTCCGCTTCATGATCTCCAAACTATCCAACTTAACTATCCGTACTACCTATTACATTTTCTGCCGCAGAAATAAATCTTGGAATAATCCTGAACTTCTTCAATTCTAACGATCTCTGCTACTGACGACTTCTAAAACAAACAATGTCGAACACACTTTTTCCTTCTTTTTTTTGTTAATTTCTTTTGTTTGTGCTTGTAATAGTCTTTTTCTTTGTAAACCCAGGCTAGCCAATTGCAAATTACCTTTGTAATAGTGAAATTTGTAATTGTAGTTTTAATTGAATTGAAAATGAAAAGTTTCCATTATTATTATTATTTTATTGTCAAAATTGTTTCTGTTGCTTTTTGTTGTGTCCACTATACTGCTGGCTAATGCCTAGGCAGACTATTTTTGTTGTTCTATTTTCTTTCATAAAAAGTTTTAACAATCTCGCAGTTTTGGCTGAGTACCATTTTTGGCATTGTTCGATTACTAATTGTTGCTTCAACAAAAGTTGACTTGAAGTTCTTTTTGCTTTTGTAATGTTGGAACGAGCGTACCAGCTTTATTCTTGGAACTTTGCTTATGTTAATGTGATGTGCCACCTTAATTTTTGAGATCTTTTAGGTATCCTCTACAGACTTGAAGCCCCTTCCACCACATTTCTGTGGCAAATAGAGCATTGCTATTGCCACTGGACCCCCCAAAAATTTGGAACAAGATGATTTTTTTAGAAATTACCATCATTTTCCTTGAAAGAAAGAAATCCCTAGTAGCTGGGTTAGAACCAAACTACGTTTTTCTGTGTTATTGCAAAACACCTAAGTCATGGTGTCAAGTGTAAGTTGACTTTTACTGATGGCCGTTAATTTTGTAAGCAGAGTTAGTTTTTATCATTTTTACAAGATGAAAGTTGTTGCTGTTTTTTACCGTTTTCTACTTGAAAACAGATTATGAAATAAAAAGAGAGCAAACTGATATTTTATTTAACCTATTTACTAACATATTTACGTATATTTCTATTATTTGTCTATAATTTGCTTTTATTTAGTAAATCATTTTCTGTATCATTACAATGTATTCATTTTTTATGTGTAAACATGGCCTACTTAAAGCACTCAAAATAAAGCATTTCTGTTCAGGAAGTAAATTTCTACCAATCAATACAACAGCGTCCCATATTTCCCTACCCTGGGTACCAGACTCACTATATTAGTGAGTCTGGTACCCAGGGTAAGATTTCCCCAACGTCTGTCACTAAAGTTTAAGCAAGACTCTTCCCCTC